TAGATAGATAGATAGATAGATAGATAGATAGATAGATAGATAGATAGATAGTCAGACAGCCAGACACTCAGACTGACAGACAGACAGACAGACAGACAGACACAGATAGACAGATAGATAGATGGATAGATAGATAGATAGATAGATAGATAGATAGATAGATAGATAGATAGAGACAGATAGACACTCAGATAGATAGATAGATAGATAGATAGATAGATAGATAGTCAGACAGCCAGACACTCAGACTGACTGACTGATAGATAGATAGATAGATAGATAGATAGATAGATAGATAGATAGATAGATAGATAGATAGATAGATAGATAGATAGATAGATAGATACTCTGACTGACTGACTGACAGATAGACAGATAGAAAAAACAAAGTTAAACCAAAAATAAAAATAAAATAAAATAAATAAAAATCTATTAATTATTCATGCAAGTTCTACAATAATGTGCTGCACATTTCTTCACATTTACTCTCTTACAAGTGTGATGCTGTAGGTGCCATGTTTGCTTAAAACAAACAAAATAAATTACAAGTCAAGTCAAAATAACCCGGTACAAGTTTTTCCCCCTGAAAGGGGGGAAATATTTTTAATCAGCAAGGATGCATTAAATTGATCAAAAGTGGCAGTAAATAAATGTATAATGTTACAAAATATTTCTATTTTAAATAAATGCTGTTCTTTCATAAAAAAAAAAGTTTTCAAAAATATTAAATTTCAGATTTCAGCATAAAAGACTTTTGGAAAACACAAAACTTATCAAGCCCAAACTTTTGAACCGTAGTGTGTTTTCCGTGCTAATCAACATTATGCCTGTCGATACAGTTTAACTTGTATTGAACCCATTTTGCCACTTTATACATGATTAGAGCATTTATACGTTCTAGTCCTGCTCTTCATCAGTATTCAGGCTGAATGTTACTTGTGCACAGCAGAAAAATCCTTTGAGACTCTTTGTTGTTCCTGCACACTGTGGTGTATATTTTTGACTATTTGTTAGACTGAAGCAGTCTTCTCTGTTTCTTCCTCTCAATAATCGTAACCTCAGCTGACAAGTCCGGAAATCGAAACATTCAACATTCAAACGATTATGGGTTTACACAAAATCAGCATTTACTGACATAATGTCAGGTATTTGTGCTATCATAAGAAGAAGTTCAGGTTTACATCAAGATTGAGAAAGCTGCATTTTTGTCTCGATAACAATATTCTGGAAAACAGTAACAACCTGTGATATTATAACTAGATACTTCAAAACAGGATCCCGGGTGAACAGTCACACCGGGCTTCTCTACAGGGAATATAAAGAGTGCCTCAACACTGCTGACATTCAAAGTGTGGGCACCAGCTGCTGTCTTTACCAAAGTAAGCTCACTTTTGCTTCAGAAGGTGGATGACATCAATCTACCACACACACAACACTATTTTAAATGTTCCCAGATAGCTTTCAGATGAGTTTCACGGGCAGGCCTGTGACAATCCCATGATGCATCGCAGCATGCTACATTTACGTAGTTAAGTAGAGTGTTTCCTACACCTGCTAGATTTCAGCATCCCATTCCTGAGGGACACTTTAGGGTCTTTAAAATATGAATATAACTAGTAGTAACTTAGGAAAAGGTATTTATATGGCTATTCTAATACAATGCAATGCAAGGCAGTATTTAAGGTGCATTACCTCGCCATACAGGAGAGGAAACCTCACGAGCATGGTTCATATAAACCCTTTGCGATTTGAATGTTTCTGATCTAGCACATGCGATAGTTGTAGAAGCGAATAGCACTTAAATGCACAGTAGAATGGCTTATTATAAGGAAATACAGTAGTTTTATAGTACCAGATTGACCTTTAGACTTAAAAAAGGTATAATATAAATCACCCTAAGGAGAGTAAAAAGCAATCTGCTATGCATTTTCCGCCAGTTGTAAACTAATTTATATCAGAGAATGTTTTTCTGCTTTAATAAATCAGATTAAGAGCTGACCTGCATGTGCAAGGCTGTTGTAGCTGGCAGCAAGGGAATGTTGAGGAATACTGTTTCATTTAGAAACCCATAAATATATGCTGAGCTTTGAATGTAGATCTAGAACAATACAGATTGAGTTCCTTCCATTAGAAAATACATGATGGACTGTTAATCTTTCAGTGGGACGAGTGAAGATTTTTCCGGGTATTACTAAGCATTTGTAATAGCACTCAGGAACGTTTGCTGACTCTTGTCATTAACATTAAGATGAAGTGTGATGAGGTTTTATCCTAAAAAGGAAAGTGTTACAAGAAATTTGAAATGAATGATTTTAAGGAAGGATCGGTTTCTACCAACCATCCTATAAAAGACAAGAAATGTTTGATTGGTGTACATTTCACAGACAATTGCATCAGCCTGTTATTATATGATACACATGAAAATGTTCTACTTTTGTTGAGTTTTTAGTTACCATTATAGAACACTTTTATATAAAGCAAAATAGAAGTGATGATATGAATGTATTGAAATATGACAGGTATCATGTGCTACAGTCTGAGGTTTATTACTCTTTCAGAGTTCAAATTTAAAGAAATTCTGTTGCATTTTACTGTATCAACTTTGTCTCAGACGTTTCTCCTAGCATTCATGAGAAATTGAAATGGATACAAATGAAACAATTGTTAATTAACGTGCTAAAATTAGCTAATAATTTACTCCCTCTCAAGCCATCCAAGATTTAGAAGAGTTTGTTTCTTCATCAGAACAGATTTGTCGAAATGTACAATTCCATCACTTGCTCACCAATGGATGCTCTGCAGTGAATGGGTGCCGTCAGAATGAGAGTCCAAACAGCTGATTAAAACATCACAATAATCCACACCACTCCAGTCCATCAGTTAATGTCTTGTGAAGTCAAAAGCTGTGTGTTTGTAAGAAACAAATCCATCATTAAGGCATTTTAACTTTAAACCTTTGTTTCTGGCTAAAATGCGAGTCCATAATAATTTTTCATCCGGTGAAAAAGTCCATCTCCTGTTATCCTCTCATATTAGAATCCACCCACATGTTTGTTTTGGCTTGTAAACAGAGCTTGTAAACAAATCACTTTTTTCACTGGAGAAATTCATATTACGGACAGATCACTCATATTTTAGCTGGAAACAATGGTTTATACTTGAAACATCTTGATGATGGATTTGTTTCTTACAAGCATGCAGTTTTTTCCTTCATAAGATGTAAACTGATGGACTGGAGTGGTGTGGATTACTGTGATGTTTTTATCAGCTGTTTGGACTCTCATTCTTACGGCACCCATTCACTGCAGAGCATCCATTGGTGAGCAAGTGATGTAATGCTACATTTCTCCAAATCTGATGAAGAAACAAACTGATGAGTAAATGTTCAGCAAGTTCATTTTTGGGTGAACTATTCCTTTGAGCAAAAGTCTGCATTCAATCTTATTGCTGTCTTGGAGAAACAAATGAAATATTAAAGAAATCCTATTTGTGATTTTTATTTCTTATGAGCCAAGATTCACCTAATACAGATGGTAGAAACTCTCTGTGAGCAAAATAAGTCAAACTAATCCTGTGGTTGTACATCAGATAGAAGCGAGTTATTCAGAACATTGTGTTCCCAATCTATTGCTGCAGAGAAGATACCCCATGCCTTAATGTAAAGTACACAAGCAGAAACGTTGCTGGTATTCACAGTTTGTATTTGAAATGAAATGAATCCTTTATGTATTATATGTGTTATACAGCAAATAGGTGCATAGTGTGTAAAATCTGTCATATTGTTTGTTTGATGCTTATTCATCTGTTCTAGCCCATTGTAACCATGTGATCTCTGTGTTATGTGAACGTGTTATCATACATTGCCTTTCATTGCTAAGATGATATAGATTGCTGAATCCAGTCTCTTTGTATAAATGTGGGAATCTGTACGACTATACGATACAGATAGACAATATGGAATAGTATGATAAAAGAAAATATGTACCGAAAAGAAAAATGATCAGTTAGGTGCACATTATTCACCTTTTAAATCTTGACTACCTTGACATGCTGTGTGCAAATAGGCTAAGGTTTTGGTTTGCTATATGAATGGAAAGAAAAAAAAAGATGTGCACTGTCCAGCACAATATACTGCATACAGTGCCCTCCAAAGTAACCATGCACTTCCCAGCAGTAGATAGACAATATGGAATAGTATGATAAAAGAAAATATGTACCGAAAAGAAAAATGATCAGTTAGGTGCACATTATTCACCTTTTAAATCTTGACTACCTTGACATGCTGTGTGCAAATAGGCTAAGGTTTTGGTTTGCTATATGAATGGAAAAAAAAAAAAAGATGTGCACTGTGCAGCACAATATACTGCATACAGTGCCCTCCAAAGTAACCATGCACTTCCCAGCAGTTTCAGCCACTGAAGCATGTCTACTATTTTATTTCACTCTCAGATAAGATACTTAATCAGGGGTTAAAGCAGAAGAATATACAATATGTAAGTAAATAATATAATTAAATAATTAGAAATAGTTGCTTTTAAATCCTATAGGAGCCCATTTTAATGAGCTCTAGGTCCTAGTGCCACTACTGCAAAGAAGCACAAACCAAACAGAGTGTCAGCAGCACCACGAGATGTTGTTTTTGCTGCACAATTACAATAATGTAAGGCCAGTGCAGCAAAGAAGCCTTGAAATCAAATGACTGAAAGCAAAACTTGAATGTTCTCTCAGTATCTAGAAGCCTGATGGTGACCATTTGTATGGGAAACAGGCATCACTTCCATGAGCTGGTATTGGGGAGGAGGAGATTGTATTTTCAGGAAACCTGCAGCATGTGTTCTTGAAATGTGTAAATAGTGTTTAATAAACACAAACTAGCAGTATGCATTTGTGTTTTATTTTTATTTTTTGTATATTACCTTCCCCCTCTTCACTGCCATTAGTTTGCACTGCTATTGAGATGGTCCTCACTGCAGAACACAAGATCCAGGGGGCGAGGTTGGGTCCAGATCCAACTCCTCCCACCTAACATATACCTAAACCCACCCATCTCCACTCCTAAACCTACCATCTCCACCCCCTAGATGTGGATCCAACCCCGCCCCCTGGATCTTTATTCTGCAGTGAGGGGCTATTGGTGCTATTAGCAAACACCACTGGTCTATAGATGCGTCAATCAATTTTTATTTGTTGTTTTGTTGGTGCAGAGGTGCATCAAATAGTTTTAGGTTTTTTTTGTCCCCGTCTGTTTAGTTCAGTTTAAGCATTCTGTAAATTCTTCCACCATGGTTCCATAAAATGAAAGTTAATTAAGGCCTATTTAATGAAATATACATAAATTCAATATCATTTTCTATAGGTGACATATCATGTGATCTTTATTGAAATATCACATATGCGATGTGTATTTTAGCACAACAATTAGTTTCATGTTGAGAAATTGCATTAATCATCTGAATTTAAAACCATTTTAATTTCAGCCTACCTACATTAAGGCTAAATCCTGCTTGATACATCAGTTTAGATCAGGTTAGATTAGACAAGGCTCAAATGAAAGAAATGAATTGAAGTTTCAATCCATTCTCAGTGTCACTGTGTATAATGCACAACTGATCACCCTTCAATATATGAAAATTATCGGCTCAGAATCGTCGGACCGATTTCGGACCGATTTCGCTTTCGTTTTTAGTAGCCTACATCTTCATTAAAGCATTAAATAGGCATATTTTCATTAAAGAGACACTGTAGATTATTACAGGAAGAACTACCTGTTGCCATGTGGCACCTGCAGTATTAAAAAAAACGACGCACTGACACACCAACAACAAACAAACTTGATTGACGCATCTATAGACCACTAAGGTGTCTGCTAAAAGAAGTGCAAACCAATAAAAGTGAAGAGGGGGCGGGTTCTAATGTGTTTCTCGATTTAACTTTGTAACGTAATATTATTAGCTTACTATTTTAGTCGACAGCTAAAGACTGTTTGAAGGCATATAGCTCAACGTCAGCTACTAATATCAAAGATTTGGCAAGCATTTCAGGTACAGTAGCCTAAATGATATAGAAATGGTGAACGTTATCAAAAACTTTGTGTTGTCAACAAACAAACTGAATATGATACAGATTTCTTCAAACATAAATGCCTTAAAATTGCACGTAACGTATGTTTTACATACGCATAATGTGACAGAGAGTGGAAATAGTTATTTACTCTCACCCATATTTCTCTGTCTCTGTTGAAGGCTCGGTGGAAATGCGTTTATTTTACACCTCGTTTGTTTTGTGCGTCCTCTCTGCATGCCACATGACCACATCCACCTGTGATGAGCTCCTGTCTTCAGAAGATGCTGAGTTCTGCAAGTAAGACTATATAATGTTGTCATTCCGTCCTGTGCGAATTTTAGTACGACCAATATCCTATTTGATTATTCAAATATGTAGGGTAGTATGTGTACTTAGACAGCACTGATATAGATTAATAATTATCTGGGCCAGGCCAAAATGTTTATTGGTTTAATATATTAGTCGGCTTAGCTACTTAGTCTTTCCCTTAGTTTTAACTATTACTGTTTGTTCATTTTTTTTTACCTCTGTTCATCAATCTGCACTGGCTACAAGTAGCTGCTCGCATAAAATTCAAGGCATTAATGTTTGCCTACAAAACCACCACTGGCTCTGCACCCATTTACCTAAATTCATTACTTCAGAGATATGTGCCTTCTAGAAGCTTGCGTTCTGCAAGTGAACGGCGTATTATTGTGCCATCTAAAAGAGGCACAAAATCACTTTCACTGACTTTTTCATTAACTGTTCCCTCCTGGTGGAATGACCTGCCCAACTCAATCCGAGCAGCTGAGTCCTTAACCATCTTCAAGAAACGACTAAAAACACATCTGTTCCATCTTTATTTGACCCTCTAATTCTAGCACTTTCTATTCTATTTTAATTCTACTTTCGCTCCGTTTCAATTACCCAGCATGCCTTCAGCAGGGTAACGAGGTGGGTGTCACCGCAGGGGTAAAGCGACAACCACTATATTGATATTTGTTTTTTTTATTTTTATTATTCTTTATTTAAAAAAAAAAAAACTAGCTTTCTATTTTTTCTATTCTATCTACTTGTTTTTCTTTGTTTGTGTGTATATATATATATATATATACACCTTGCTATGTGTACTGTGTTAGGCTAACCGAGACTTGTCATTTGCACTTATATATTGTTGCTCTTTTGTTAGTTTTGACTGCTTTTATTGTCCTCATTTGTAAGTCGCTAAATGAATAAATGTAAATGTTTGTCAGTGCCAATACTATGGGAATACAGAATTATTTTTAATATAAAAGTAGCATACTGAATGTAGAAAACGATTAGTTAATATGATCAAAAACACCCTGAATGTTTCCTGAAAATACTGTAAAAATGAATGAAATGGAAGTAAATTCCTTCTTTAATCTATTAAATAGGTTATTATTTCCTGCTGGGATCAATTCATTAAAATCCCAGTTGGAATCCAATACAAATAGTCTTTTAGCATTCCTTTAGAAGTTTCGGACTAGGGTTAATTTCCAAACCATATTTCCTTAAATGAACTGATTTCAGAAGTCTGGCTTGTAGGCCGGTGTGGGATGTGTAGGACTCCCTCAGAGCACTGAGTCATGGATGCTTAAGCAGCCGGTCCCACTCAAAACCCACACAGCATGCCTTACAAATCTAACAACTTACTCACTAGTTCAACTTGCAGTGCAGACATGGGCTATTCACAGCTTATATTAGTTTTTCATGACCTGTCATAGGAAACCAAAACTGTTAATAATGATGGTGTACTAGACAGGTTCACTTATTTGGACCTGCACTTTTGCTGTTTAGGGGAAAATTAAAGGCGATTTACCCTGATCTGGTTGTCGACAAATGCATGATCGTCCCTCAGAGGATCAGAGAGAAGATCAGTAAGGAGTGGGGACCACCTCAAGTACAGCTGCCAAGTGCTGGTGAGGTAAGAGAAATTCACTCCATAACATCATGCTGGCCTCTTACTCACTCTTTCAACTAGTGTTCAGTGGTTTAGCCTTTAACCTGTGGTTAATAATGGTCCTCTGCCAGCTTAGAATGTGTCATAATATAAACTTGGTGAAGTGTGGGCTATTTTTAGATGTTGTTATAATACTTTCTCCTGCTACAGTTTAACTGTAAGGAAACCATGTTTAGGTTGATTTCCTGACAAGTGGCAAATTTAGCCACTGATCTGTGTTTGAGCCTCACACAGCAATACTGGCTCAGTGGCAATGGCACACTTTAGCTGTAAATGCATTATGTTTCAGTCAAAATAGAAAGGTCTTTAATGCTAATTAGATGGTTATTTTCCACTTTATCTGTTATTTTAATTTGAAGTCATATTTTGTATTGTGTTATTCTGGTCGGTTGTTCTTCTATTATGTCTCCAGAAGATGGCGCAAGTGTTCCATAACTAAGGCATATGTTTGCTGAAATGAATTCATGTTACAGACACAAAACTCTTTTTGAGTATGACATAGAAATGTCATGGATATATTTACTGACCTTATGTGATTCGTTTTGATGCCTTTAAGTTTGTCTTCAGCCGTGTTTAAGGTATTGAAGGTGATTCAGAGATTTATTTTTTCATGAATTGAAGTCTGTATATCAGTGCTACAGTGCTTCCAGGGAGTATATATATATAAATATATAAAACAATCTGATGCAGTGCTTATTATTTATTGTTTTATATATATATATATATATATATATATATATATATAGTTTACATTATATGTGTGTATACAATGAACATACATACATAGATATTTTTGTATTTTTAAAATGTATTAATTATATTATTATTTTCGAGATTATTTTTGTTAAAATGATATATATTATTTTAGTTTATTATTTATGTTTGTGTATATAATAAACATACATTCAAATAAATAAATGTATATATGTATGTATGTATGTATGTATGTATGTATGTATGTATGTATGTATGTATGTGACCCTGGACCACAAAACCAGTCATAAGGATCAACTTTTTGAAATTGAGATTTATACATCATCTGGAAGCTGAATAAATACAATTTCCACTGATGTATGGTTTGTTAGGATAGGACAATATTTGGCCGAGATACAACTATCTGGAATCTGAGGGTGCAAAACAATCAAAATATTGAGAAAATCTCCTTTAAAGTTGTCCAAATTAAGTCCTTAGCAATGCATATTACTAATCAAAAATTAAGTTTTAATATATTTACGGTAGGAAATTTACAAAATATCTTCATGGAAAATGATCTTTACTTTACATAGAAAGAAAAATCGATAATTTTGACCCGTACAATGTATTTTTGACTATTGCTACAAATATACCCCAGCGACTTAAGACTGATTTTGTGCTCCAGGGTCACACACACACACACACACACACACACATATATATATATGCATCAGCATAATTACAGTGGGTTGTAATATTTGAATTAGGAGCTTTTGGTTTGTCCCAATATCCTTCTCCACAACTTAAGTCTAACTTTAAAATAGCTTTTCTTTCAAAATCAATATATTGAAATCAATCATATTTAATTAAACTAATGTAATAGTAATGAGAAGAAGAAAATGAAGAATAACGATGCTGCTGCTGCTGATGATGGTATGGATCTTTATCTTTAGACATTTACATTTACAACTTTAAATACAAATGTTTTCAGATTCCTCTTTTTACAATTTTAAACGTACTCTAAGTTGTCTTTTCAAGGCAATCATTTTAGATAAAGTAAGAGACAAAGAGGCCATCAATATGACTGAAGAGCCGTTGGACAGCTGCTATATCTGGCAAACTTTGTCCGTCTCGCTAGATTGGTGTATTTGAGTTTAGAGCAGCGATGCTGTGCCAATCATTCTGGTAAACTTGAAATAGAATCAACTGTGGTGGAGAAGCGCAGCAAAGTACCATGCCGTATCTGTAAATTGGAAAGCCACTTCAATTTTAGGAGCTAGTTTATAAATTCCATAGCTAAGCAGTCTGGCTGGAAGATGATCTATCGCCCTCATGTCTCCCAAACCCCAATTGATGTATGGTCGTATTATCTATTATGCTGTCCTACATGATTCTCTTTTATTGCTGGACTTGGTGTCAGACAACAAAACGGATTACACGTGAGATCAAATCAATACCAACTTTATTTACCGGCCTTTCAAATGTAATTCCCCCTTTTGTGGCTCTGATTCTGATAAAAACATATGGTAGCTGGAGGTCTGCGCTGTACTAAATGTTCAGATGACGAAACATCTTTCTAAAAAAAAAAAATGAATCCATAGACATAAACTGCATAAAACATGAGTTGACAAAAATTATGTGATGTTCAGTAGGACCTTTATAAGGTGCTTTCCATTGTAAAGACTGGTGTCCAGCCTGATTAAAGTCTATATACGATATGATATGAGATCTTGGTACTTTTGAAGATTCATATGAACTTATAGAAAACAATTGCTGTACTGATAGTCAATAGTTGTTTTTAGGCTTTGATTGATAACCAGTGTGATGGCCAATATTATATACAGCTTTGTCCAAAATTAATGTTCACAATAAAGCCCCTTCACTATGTAAAATTTTACATGAGATAAATCAGGTTTTGAAGAAAAGTAGTTTTTAACGGCGCATCCAGAGACAATTTATCTGTTTTCACTGAGCAAGAAATACCTTGATAAAATCACAGCCAGTCAAAACAAAAGTGATGTTTAATGTACAGGTTTGAAAAGCAGGATTTTGGGCCAATGATATTTCAAGGTGGGCGGAGCGTAGCGCAAAGCCACATAAATAGAATCCAAGTGATTGATATGAGATCTTGGTACTTTTGAAGATTCATATGAACTTATAGAAAACAATTGCTATACTGATAGTCAATAATTGTTTTTAGGCTTTGATTGATAACCAGTGTGATGGCCAATATTATATACAGCTTTGTCCAAAATTAATGTTCACAATAAAGCCCCTTCACTATGTAAAATTTTACATGAGATAAATCAGGTTTTGAAGAAAAGTAGTTTTTAGCGGCGCATCCAGAGACAATTTATCTGTTTTCACTGAGCAAGAAATACCTTGATAAAATCACAGCCAGTCAAAACAAATGTGATGTTTAATGTACAGGTTTGAAAAGCAGGATTTTGGGCCAATGATATTTCAAGGTGGGCGGAGCGTAGCGCAAAGCCACATAAATAGAATCCAAGTGATTAAAAAAATCTCCTGTTGCTTGTCGCTGCAACTTCTTCAAGAGTTCATACTCTCTTAAAAATTCCAAATTGTTTCCAAATTAGAAAAGTTCCAAAAGGGAGGTTTTGAAGCAATTCCGGTTAGAAGAACCATATTGGATTCCCAAAAGAACCTTTCAGTGAACAGTTTCTGTCATTAGAAGAATCTTTTTTTTTTTATTTTTTATTCCACTTTATAGTGGAAACATTTTCCACTATAAAGAACTTTTCGTGCAATGGAAATTTTACATGGATGTTAAAGATTCTTCATGAAGAGTCTTTACTTTTTAAGAGTGCATGTATGTTACCTGCTATATATATTTGAGTTGGAAATAATCCCCGATGCTATTCCAGTATTGAACCATATTGGATTCCCAAAAGAACCTTTCAGTGAACAGTTTCTGTCATTAGAAGAATCTTTTTTTTAAATTTTTTATTCCACTTTATAGTGGAAACATTTTCCACTATAAAGAACTTTTCGTGCAATGGAAATTTTACATGGATGTTAAAGATTCTTCATGAAGAGTCTTTACTTTTTAAGAGTGCATGTATGTTACCTGCTATATATATTTGAGTTGGAAATAATCCCTGATGCTATTCCAGTATCGACTAATATTACTTATAAGGTCATTGATTTATCACGCATTCTTACTTTAAAGCATCTGTGAGGCTGCGTTTGGCATCGAGCAGCCTGTGATCTCCAACATGCTGCATGTTCTTACAGATATCTGGAGTGTAGATGCTTATTTAAACGTCTGCATAATCTTGTATTCTGGATGAAGGTGCGATCTGCCACGTGTTATTTGCTGATCGAGAAGTATTTTGCGTAATTTTCAGAACTTCTCAACTCCATCTCATTTCCCCGAGCTCTTATCGGGTGGTATTTTAGGACGTGACTTATTCCTCAAAAATCACGTTAACTTTTTAGGCTGTCGCCCCCCCGCAGCTGTCGAAAGTCTCTTTGGCATAGGAAAGCAGCGCCTGTGGTTCATATGGGAACTTCTACTGTTTTATTCGGTGCTTAAGAGAGATGAGCATGAGGTTTCTAAACCATTACAGTGATTAGAAAGCGCCTGGATGTGATCTCCTGAGCTAGCTTACTGCGCCGCTAATATCTCTTTTTCTCCCGCTCTCTCTGTGAGAGTGATTTTGTACGCTGTGCTTAAAGCCGTGCGTGGGGGCGTCGAGAGAGGATTTCAATGTGAACCATCCCTCCCTACTTCCTGCTTTTTTTGGCTTATTTCGGCGAAGCTCTCTGTTCCTTTCTTTTAGCTGCCTGTAATGACGACAGGGGCGGCATCTTCATCGCTAAGCCTGGCAGTGCCCACGGCTGCTAGTCGTCTCAGTGCAGCGCTGCCCACTCACCCACGCTAGCCTTGGCACCAGCGTGTCGTAGCAGCGTGCTATCCGACATCCGAAGGTGGGGTTCCTTTCCGGAAGACCCTGAGTGTCTTTCCCAGGGAAAACCCACTCGTCCACCCATGCAGGATTCCTGAAAGGTCTTTCGCTGTTGGGCCTCTTGAAAGATGGAGGAAGAGAGGGGGTTTGGAGTTTGCTTTTTATACTCTCAGTGGGTGAACCGTCTTTAATTCAGATGGAGATAATTCATAGAAATTCATATAACTGCTGTAAGTGTAGTTTTTAGTAATGCATTGCATTTTCAGTATGACTCACATTTAAACAGGTTGTCACTAGAGCTGTTACCTGAATGGTGAAAAAAATGAATTGCACATTTAAAAA